CTTTCCCCTTCAAGTGTGCCACCCATGCTTGCTGATCAAGTGGAGTATTTGATTTGACTTTTAAGGAGGTGATATGAAATACCATTAGTCCACGGAAAAGCTCATGCAGCCAGAATAAAGAAGTAGCCTCAGCCTAGGATAAAGATGTTCCAAACAAAGGTAGAGTGTAATGCCACTAGAATGATTCTGTCTTCAGCTCCTATAATCCTGATGTGTATTCTTCTAGAACAAATCGAATAGAAAGAAAAGACCAAATGGAGAAATAACCAATGATCATATGGTGTTATGTGATCATGCGTGTCAACAAGTCGAATAAGCCAAATGGAGAAACAAAGAGTGAATGGAGAGTAAAATGCATGAGGCTGAATGAATATGTTTAAATCAAATGAAAATGAATGACACGAGCAAGTGCTTGATCTATTTGGCCCTTCTCCCCTGCATGTGAGAACAACTTATGAAATATGAGTCCATTATGTAGGAGGTGGGAATTGAAAGCTCACTTTTCCAAATATTTGCCACGTGGCCCTTTTGAATCAAGGTGCATTAAACGCATGAAAAAGTCTTACAGCTTTGAAGTTTGAAATATTTTATTATACATATAATTTTTGGCGTCAAGTCATTTAAGAAAAATGTGTATTTGATTTCTTGACCGTCGTCTTCCCCATTCCGTTTCTTCACGAAGTTTTTCTGGCCATAGGAGTTTTCAACTTTTCCCTCAGCAATCACGATAAAGTCTTCTCCTCTTCAAATTTTTATTGTTTTCTACTTTTCGTATCCAAATATTTTGAGGAGTTGAGGTGTTTTTGGATAAAAAAGTTAAAGTTTAGGGGCGGTTTTGTGGCGTTTTTGATAATTTTCTAGGAGCGAAAATTGGAATTCTTAAATATAGGTTTTGGGTCTGTAACAAATAATTTTGGGTTGGATTTGTTATTGTCGGGTGAACTTCTGGAAAAAAGACGAATTTCTGTTGTGAAGTAGTTTTACAAATGCTTGGTGCCTTTATTTTTGAAGGAGGCTGAAGGTGTTTCATGGGTTTTCTTCGTTTTTTTTCTACAAAGTTTCATTTTCCAATAGCTCTTGAGGTTCTCTAAACGAATTGGTGATTTTTGGAGAAGTTAGAATGTTTCTTGGTAAGTTTCTGTGGAACTTTGACATTTTTCAGGAAGAAGAAGGAGATTGGGAGGCGGATTCTTCCCTATTTTTCATGGTGTTATTGAATAGTAGATGATGGATAGTAGACTAGCGCGCTAGGCTAGTATCCGACACTCGGTGGAGAGCTCGAGTTATAGTCGGGGCTTACCCTAGAATTATATGGACTGCCAGGACTAAATGAAGGCTTGAAGGAGAATAGATGGAGACGTAGGTGAATATGATGAAGGTGTTGGTGTAATTTGGAGATGTAGGACTGTAAGGGCTGGCAGGTGACAATCTTGGGCTGCGTGGTGGAAAGCCAGTGATGGACTATATTGGTAGAGAGGACCGTGACTTGGCGAAGTAGGGCTATAGGTTGGTAAGTGGGTTGTGTGATGGAGATGTGGGGCTATAAGAGGGGATGTTGGTATAATAAAAGAGGGAGGTAATCGCGTGAGGTCGCTTCTATCGTTACACACAGAAACCAATATGGATGGACAAAACTCTGGTGGCATGACCGAATGACGGAATCCATGCTGATGATTAAGTATTATTACAGTTTGACTGTTGTATGTATATGGCGCATATGTGGAAAGGTAATGTAAAGAAAGAAAGGGCCACAACCCAAAGACGCGTTTGTCTCTTACGCACGAGATGATATGTTAGAAAAGGATCAAACAGGTGGAATGATATCTGAAATTGGGATATGTGGAGGAGCACATGTGATTTTACGCTGGAAGCGCTGGATGAATGATGAGAAGCGTTGAGACATGGAAATGGGTTTTTTAAGAACTCTAAAACATGTCCAAGAGACATAGGGTTTTTAGAATATGAAATATCTTTTAAAAAGAAATTAAACAATACAAAAAGAGGGAGCGATATTCCAACTAACGCGCAAAACAAATTATAAACACGAGAGATGTGTTTTGATGCTTCAATGTATCATATATACATGCTGATAAACATAACATGCATAAAACAAATTATGATATATCGAATAATATATAATATGACATGTGAACAGATAAATCAATGACGAAAGCAAAGAAAAAATTTTCTTATCGTGATGGAACTTTTCAGATTAACGATGTCAGTCAGAGAGAGTTCCGTGCCTCCTCATGTGTAAGTCATCATTGGAATGACGATTGTCAGAGGCCCCACGTGGGGCGCCAAACTGTAGATGCAAAAAATCTACCGTCATGAAAATAGGGTGTGATCATGGAGGTTGAGGTCACTGACAATCCGTTAGATGCACACATGAAAGGGCAAGCGTGAAGCTTCGGAAAACACCGAGGTGTTGTTTGCCGTAGGCACTCCGACGCTCAAGTCAGCAAGGCTGAAAGGATTTAATAGAATTAAGGAGAAGAAGAATTACCAAGAGTCTTGTCGGAGGCTAGGACTATGGCGGAGGCGTCGGGTTCTTGGGAGCAAGAACTTAGGAGCAAATAGATGGTTTTGAGTGGTGTAGATTGACTGTGAGAGATTGCCTCCTTAATGAGAGGGCAAGCCTCTGTTTTATAGTGAACCTAAGGGGTTGAAATCCTAGTAGGACATTGAGTCCTCTTTTGGGAGTAATCCCTCATAAAAGAGATATGATTTCTTAACCTTATAGATTAAGTTTAATAGTTTAAATAAGAGTTGGAATCTTAGTAGGACACTAAGTCCTATTGGGAGATAATCCTATCATGAAAGAGATATGATTTCTTGACCTTATCAGATCAGTTTAATAGTTTGAGTGAGATTTGAAATCTTAGTGAAGAGGAAATAGAATGAGATTCTGATTTCTTATTATACTCTGTTGCAGGTAATGGGCTGAAACCCAGTTTAGCTTAACTTATAGGATAGCCCAACTCATAGCGGGTATGGTCGCAAGGTGATTTTAAGCGTGGGCCCATCGGGATTGGGTTGAGGCTTGAGCCGTGACATGTTTATTTCGTTATTGGGCGTCGTCAAGCCAAGCGATTTTGGCCCTAACAATACACATACCTAAATATAGTTATAAGAATATTTTAGTTTCAATTTTCAACCACAAATCTAGCTTTTTCTAGTGCGATATATCAAATTGTTATTTGAAATAAGAAATTGTTTAGTTTTGCAAGAGTAATATCACTCTCACTTTAATGGAAAAAATATTTAATACTTACCGAACATTGAAACTATAACTAAAAATCACTATAAAACACATTTAGATCAAGAATTTCTTGAGCATCAGTAAGAAGTATAATGTTGAAAAATAGAACTTTTCTTTTATTATATGACATTGAAATATTTGAATTTTATAGGTTTTAAAATTACAATTACAATTTTCAATGTTATCAAACGGATAATAAACAATGAAACCTTATGGACTTGTTTGTAAATTTCCATCAAGTTCATGCCATAGCCACGGGTGGTATGCGATTGCGACGTGAAAGCACGCCGTTAGTCCGATGACGGAAATAAAAAAGGGGGAAGTCAACGTGAAGGGTACAATAGTATTTCCAAAGTCACATTAAAAAAATAAAAACTACAGCATTAGTTAGTATTTTTTTCAAAATAGTTAATTAAATAATAAATAATATTGTCCGGAAGATTATAAGTAACTTTTTTCTTTAGGGGCAGTTCCAGAGGTGGATTGAATAAAAGTTTTAGGTCCGGAGCTTCCTTCACCAAGACCAAACTAACACAGAACATAACTGGATTTAGTGGCCTGAAGAGAGAGAAAAGTTAGAAACTGTGTTTGTGTGGTGAAAAAGTGAAGGATCTGACACAGACAACAACATGAAGATGAAGATAAAGGTGGTGAGTTTCACTTGTGATCTTGTTATGTTCTGTTCTTTTAGATCTGTTCTCTTTTTAATTTTTTTTTTCTTGGGGTTTTGTTTTCTGATTGTTTCTCGGGAAAATTTTGGGAAGATGGGTGTGCTTTTTGGTTCTCTGATGGGGTGTTTTTTAGGTCTTCTTTTCTTGGTTTGTCTCAAATTCTTGAACTGGAGTTTCAAAACGTTACATTTCTGCTTGCTATGTTTGATTGTTTTTTAAAAAAAAATTAATTTTTTTTTAAAAGGTCATTTATGATGTAAATTTTGTGAAGATCACAGTGGGATGAGTTTCTGCCTATTGATTTTTTTTTTCGGTTTTTAGTTTTTTTGGTTTTCTGCAGAATAAATGTGAAAGCTTTGATCTTTGTGTTGAGGTGAAAGTGAAACAATGGATCTTTGATCGGTGTTTGGTTATCTGATGAGAGGTTGGTTCTAATATCTATGCATTGCTTGTGATTTGAAGGTTTTTTTTAATTAATTTATATTTTTAAGCCGGAATTTTTAGCCTTAAGTTTTAAGTTTTTAATTTTCTTGATTACCTAAAAGGCACGAATATCAAGGTTAAAATTTCAAGGCAAAGACATAAATTAAGCCTGTGTGAAAAAGAAATGAATATTTTATTATCTACTTGCTTTGTTTTGTTTAATTTTCTTGCTTCCATTTTACACTTGTTAGAGTTCAAGACTGTTATTTGTTATTGGGAAAAGATTGGTAGTTCCTTTTTTTTTTTTTTTTTTAATTTTTTTTATCAATTCTGCTGCTTTTTCATTTAATATTCTTCTTTTGATTAAGCTTATGAAGAATTAGAAATTTAGGTTTGAATAAATGGTGATTTTGCGTTTTGAGATCAGGTTTAAAACCCGCCAAAAGATGGTTTCTCATAAAAGTATGCTATTTTAGGTGCTTTTGGTCCATGTGAGGCTTTTCTTTTCTGGGAATCTTCTTTTTCTGGCTTTGTTCTTTTCCTTGTACGTCTGTCATCTTTCTATTTATTTCTTGGTTATTAAGCATTTTAATCTTGAATATGAAATCAATTATTTTATTATTATTTTTCTAATTTGCAGTTTTAACTTATACGAGAGCGTTACAGTTATTGAATTGGTGATATAACTTCAGTGGAATAACTTCATGCAATCATTTGGAAAGTTATATTAAGCCATTGGTGATATAAGTGTACTGGAGTAAATGTCTTTCCGGAGTATAGTCCGCGATGTGAGAGATGGGTTTGGGAGTTTATCAAGGCGAAGTTTTGAGGTGAGGCTGCCCGGCCATCATCATAGGGGAAAATCACATGGCTCAGTGCACGAGTTGCATGACCAGCCCATAGTCATCCAAAACAGCCGTTGGGCAGGCCTCCCACCTGAGCTTTTGCGTGATGTGATCAAGAGATTGGAGGCAAGTGAGAGTACGTGGCCTGCTCGCAAACATGTTGTTGCATGTGCTGCCGTGTGTAGGTCATGGAGGGAAATGTGCAAAGAAATTGTCAGAAGCCCTGAATTCTGTGGGAAGATTACCTTTCCGGTTTCCCTGAAGCAGGTGAGACTTTTATGATTTCAGCTGTGCTTACAATATAGGTTTATATGGAAAAAACTGATAACCTTTTTATATGCAGTTTCTTTTCTTCTGTATCTGTTGAATTGTCAGTCTTAGTATAAACATTTTGATGCATACGTATTTATTTCTCATTAATGAGATGTTTTCACTGAGACGGACGTGGACTGACCAGGTTTTGATTTGTTTCTCATATACAGCCAGGGCCCAGGGATGGGGCTATTCAGTGCTTCATTAAGAGGGATAAATCTAATTTGACTTACCATCTTTTCCTTTGCCTTAGCCCTGGTAAGTTTCTATTCTATATTTTGTTTGCCCCAAAAATTTTGTTTTAATATGACCTGCCTGTTATGTGGCTGGTGAATATCAATTGAGGTAAATGCTGGCTTTGCCTTGGTGCCATGTTCAAACTTGCCCAGGAAAGAGGCACTGTGCCAAAAAGAAAAAGACTACTGTAAGAGGAAAAGAGAGGAAGAAGAGTGAGATAAAAAGAGTTGTAGAGTGTTGTGGTGGATAGAATATAGGTGGCTATGGTATGATGAAGTTTGACCACTCATTGGCCTTTAAATGTACCTATAATGACCTTATCTTAATTTCTTACGTTTCTTTCAAATTTCATTTTAGCATATTTAGGGAATAAACGGACAAAAATATCTAGTTGAAAAGTGTTTCTATTTATTAGTGGTAGAGATTATTTTCTTGAACAAAAAACTAATGGATTCTTAACTCTTACTCTGTCAAATGTTGTTTTTGCTAAATATGTGTTGGTTCACTTGTAAGGTTTTATATCTAACAGTATGGCTACTAATTCTTTTTATGCCATTCTCCAATTCTGTATTATACTTACAATTAGTATCCCTTAGATTTATCCCAACACTAGGATTTGCTTTGTGGTATACTAGGACAAGCACAAGCTGTGACACATGTTTATAACTGTTCAGTAGTTACTGATTTGTTACTATAATAAAGATACTAATATGACCGGTGGAAGCATTTTCCAATTTTGTTGAGTTGCTGTGTTGACATGCGCAAATGGTCTCTCTTTCTGAAGTCAGCTTCCAGAAATATGTTCCGAGCCTATATTATGTTTTAGAAACTTCTCTAGCCTTGAATAAATTTGTTCTGTTAGTGAAGACTTCATTTTGGAAAACAAGCGGAAATTTAAATGTGATGTCATAGGAAACAGTTGTCGGTGCTTGTTTGGGATCTTTTAGAAATCTAATTTATCTGGATATTAGTGGAATCAAATAGCCTTATTATTTGTTGACCGTCTCTTTGGCTTTCACACATTCCAAAGGTTAAGTGATTCCAACTACATAGGCTGGGTATGGGTTTGAGTTAATTTTGAGATGCTCTGCTTATAGACTTCTAGAACTGCTCCGTGCCAAGCAATCTTAGTCCAAAAAATTATCATCTCTGCGTACTGTTTCATGCAACTTTACAATGGTACCATTGGCACTTATTTTTCTCATTTTAATCTAACTCTTAAATTCAGTTAGGTTTATGCAGGACAGATAACTTATCTACTCGTGAGTTATCCTTGTGACTAACATGGTTTATGCTGTTTTAGTTCTACCCTATGTAGTTAGTGTTTTGCATAAATGTGCTTTTTCTTATTTGGTTCACTGTTATTTCGAAGCACTCTAATTCAATCGTGTGTTTTTGCAGCTTTGCTTGTTGAAAATGGCAAGTTTCTTCTTTCTGCAAAACGGACTCGGAGAACCACTTGCACAGAGTATGTAATCTCCATGGATGCCGATAATATATCAAGATCAAGCAGTACTTACATTGGAAAATTGAGGTAGGATATGGCTATTTTCAATGCTTTAAGCTTTATCTTTCAGTTAACTAATCTATCCTAAACTGTATGGTAGAGGTCTGGAAAATCAAAATGTAGAAAAATTCTTCATAAATCTGACAGAAAAGGAAGCTTTATGTGTCTTAAATATGTTTATGGCGACTTTAAAAGCATATGATAAATGTGCGAATGGAGAATTCAACTTGATATATTAATCACGTTATATATAATGGGGTTTCAAGTATTGATTGTTGGATTTACAGAACTTTATATTCATACTGTACGTCAACATAATATGCATGTGTTTCTTTGCTTCAGGTCAAATTTTCTTGGCACAAAATTCATCATTTATGACACACAACCTCCTTACAACAATGCCCAGCTTTCTCCACCTGGCCGAAGCCGCAGGTTCTATTCCAAAAAGGTTTCACCAAAGGTTCCCACTGGTAGCTACAACATTGCTCAGGTCACATATGAGCTGAACGTTTTAGGAACCAGGGGCCCTCGGAGGATGCACTGCACCATGCACTCAATTCCAGCCTCATCCCTTGAGCCTGGTGGTAGTGTCCCAGGCCAGGCAGAGCTTAATCCACGCTCCCTTGAAGATTCCTTCCGGAACTTCTCAAAATCAATAGATAGTTCAACTGAGTTTAGTAGCTCCCGATTTTCTGACATTGTTGGCATTCGTGATGATGACGAGGAGGGAAAGGAGCGACCTTTAGTTCTTCGGAACAAGGCTCCAAGATGGCACGAGCAGCTCCAGTGTTGGTGCCTCAACTTTCGAGGAAGAGTGACTGTTGCTTCTGTCAAGAATTTCCAATTGATTGCTGCAACGCAGCCTGCTGCTGGTGCACCGACACCATCACAGCCACCCCAGTCGGATCACGACAAGATCATTCTGCAATTTGGTAAGGTTGGCAAGGATATGTTCACAATGGACTACCGGTATCCTTTATCTGCATTTCAGGCTTTCGCAATCTGCTTGAGCAGTTTCGACACCAAATTGGCATGTGAATAGAAGAAAATAGAGATTATGGTAAGAAGTAGAAAAGTTTCGTTGGCCTTGCTTGTTTCTCTCTCTAGAATCTATAGAATGTGTTTGTTTTATGCAGTGTACAACTAATAGTTGCACTAGCAAGTACAGGACATCTGTGCTCATTTGACAAGAATTTTTTTCTTTTTCTTTTTCCCCTTTAAATCCATTTTCTATGATGCTCTGGATGTTTCCATTATCAAATGTTTTCTGTTCTCTAAACTCACTCCTTTAATTTGAGCTGTAAAGAACAGTGTAAACTTCAATTCAGTCTACTGGCTGCTAGTTTAGCCTTAAGACCCCAATCAGTTACCTTTAAATTGTCTGTGTTTGATCATTGGATAGCGACTTTGGCAAATAATGCACCAACTCGACAATAGTGAACAAAATCTTTTAAAAGTCTCTCCGAGGTGGGTTGCCTCTGGAATTTAGCTTATGTTTGTGTTCAACTTGGTCCAGCTTGGCTTGCCTGAGAAACAACACAATATTCCCACTTGTGTCCTTTTGTCTGATGACTCTTATGTACCCATTTCAATCTTTTCTTTGTATTCTTATTGCTGGAATCAAATCCCTTTGGCAGCCACCCGATAAGCTTGTATTGCTAGTGCAATATTACTTGTACTAAACACTTCTGTTTGTCTATTTATGCAAGTTTCTCTGGTAAATATTACATCTAATCGCCCTTTCACATGGGCTGCTAATGGCAAATTATGCAAGAGTGGTAATAACTTTTTGCCCCCACGAAATTTCAAGGAGAAGAAAACTGTGACAGAGATGGATGTAAAAGTGCAAGTAATTGTCACAAAATCTCAGCCTCCAAAGGCTTTCTCTTCGGCATTTTTCTGTCAACTCGATTCTAGACTCTAGAGGAGCTCTTTGTTTTCCACTTCTATTGTAATAAGAGATTCCCTTTTTATGTGGACAAAGGCTCGTATCCTACTCTACGTATGGACAATCCTTGATATCTTTTTCATTCGCAACAGAAAATATGTTGTTAATGTTTGGTATCAAAATAAAGGTCAATTGAGCCAAATAATTATTACCACTAAAACTATTCTTAGAGGCCATTTCTGGCTTGCCAAATTTAATTCTCCAACTTTGCATGTTATTAAGTAATTAACACCCTGAAACAGATTTATTTATTTATATTTTATTTTATAGAGTTGTGGTGTGGTATCTGCAGTTCTGCAATCTTAGTGAAGTGGCATTGTGGTTAATGACTTAATGGCTGCATAATGATCATTTTCTGCTCTTTAGTCAATGATTAATTACAAAATCTTTGCTTTAAATTCAAACATCAGTGAGATAAAATCAAGGGGTTCTGGTTTCCTTTATCAAATTAACCTTTAAAAGAAAGAACAAAATGTAAAGCGTTGAATCCTAAAAATTATATCAATTTGGTAATTTTAAGTGAAAACAATAGTTTGTGATAAATAAACTCCGAGGGGTTGGCTTATACAGTCAAGAGGTTTGCTCGTTTTTAGGTTTAAACTTTGAAATCATTTATTACATTATAATTTATCCATTCTTTTGAGTTTATAGAGTATTTAACGTATCCCTGAAATTGGTTGAATTGTTGGACACTCCGTTAAAAACAAAAAAAAGTCTCTGATAAATACGGTGTTAAAAAGACGTCTTGTCATTTTGGTGGCAACTGATGGGAGTGCCCAGCTCAAGTCAGATGCACATAAAAGTCCAAAACAATCACGAAAAACATAATCAATTAATTTTCAAATAAAATTGTGAACTTACCGTTTCGATAAAGTAATGTCACTATCTCATCTGAGAGTTTCTGAAAAGATAAGAGGCCTGTTTCCAAAATGCTCAATGTGATAGACAAGTGGCAGAGTTTGCATATAGACTAAAAAGGGCCCGAACCAAATGACCATTAAATAAACATGAATGAGTTAGGTTTGTCTTGTAAAAGTCACAGAATTATCTCTGCATTATCAAAATAATATTCATCTTTCAGCTTTTTAATTATATATATCTAATATCTTCTACTTTTGATCAAAACAAGAAGCGGATTTTCTGCAAGGAGGAGCTTCTGAATTTTTGCATTCATCATCATCCACATGTTACAACATATTTTATATTCAAAGATGGAACCAGAAGCCAGAAATTTCAAGCTTTTGAATTGAATTCTACACTTACCAGATTTGAGTTTCAGGCTGCAGCTGTAGAGCCAGCCAGCTTAAAACAACCCAGATGATCAAACTTTTTTTTTTCTTTTTTTTCTTCAATTCAGAAATTCTCCGCACTTACTTCACAAGCCCGAACTCAACACTGGAGCCCCTACCGAACCAGATGATGAAATATTATATACAGTTAATCACAGTCTTGACAGATTCCTAGAAGTGAGCACTTGCCAAAATCCCAACTGAAGTTCCTGTAGGGCCGTAGGCTACAGCACTTCAGGAGCTAGCTAATTTTCCAGGGAGGCATTTACAATCTCCAACCCTTTCCAGGGAAATTAGAACGGCCCTGGAAAAGTAAACGCATCAGAAAGTGAGAGCTGGAGATGGATAATTTGGAGATGAAGATACCTCTCTCTTTCTGTGTCTTTTTTCCCTGGAAAAAGGAAAAAATACTGACAACACAAGAACACCAGCTAGCTACCGGTCCCTCGCTTGTCAACCTTTATATAAGAATAACATGTAATGTAATGATGTTTTGGTGTATAAAGGATAATAATTTTAATTACTTTTAGTACAGTTTAACATTGGAGATAATGTGAACCTGATACTGTAAGGAATTTGATATTTTAAAATAGCATAGGGTTACCATGAGGAAAATACTGAAATTCTATTTCATTACTATTGTATTGTTAATGTAGAATTAATACAAATAGGTATAAGACAGAATGAAAAGTTTTTGATGGAATCATTCTGATGTTGAGAAGTTTGTATTGCAGAAGATCCACGGATATTTGCAAATTATTTATTACTGACTAGAGTTTTATATTTGACTATTTTTTGGATTATTTTTTTTGGCTTCATTCTTATCATGGTCTTTTTCAGAATATTTGGCCGCAGATTATTATTTCTCATTANCTCTTTGTTTTCCACTTCTATTGTAATAAGAGATTCCCTTTTTATGTGGACAAAGGCTCGTATCCTACTCTACGTATGGACAATCCTTGATATCTTTTTCATTCGCAACAGAAAATATGTTGTTAATGTTTGGTATCAAAATAAAGGTCAATTGAGCCAAATAATTATTACCACTAAAACTATTCTTAGAGGCCATTTCTGGCTTGCCAAATATAATTCTCCAACTTTGCATGTTATTAAGTAATTAACACCCTGAAACAGATTTATTTATTTATATTTTATTTTATAGTGGTGTGGTATCTGCAGTTCTGCAATCTTAGTGAAGTGGCATTGTGGTTAATGACTTAATGGCTGCATAATGATCATTTTCTGCTCTTTAGTCAATGATTAATTACAAAATCTTTGCTTTAAATTCAAACATCAGTGAGATAAAATCAAGGGGTTCTGGTTTCCTTTATCAAATTAACCTTTAAAAGAAAGAACAAAATGTAAAGCGTTGAATCCTAAAAATTATATCAATTTGGTAATTTTAAGTGAAAACAATAGTTTGTGATAAATAAACTCCGAGGGGTTGGCTTATACAGTCAAGAGGTTTGCTCGTTTTTAGGTTTAAACTTTGAAATCATTTATTACATTATAATTTATCCATTCTTTTGAGTTTATAGAGTATTTAACGTATCCCTGAAATTGGTTGAATTGTTGGACACTCCGTTAAAAACAAAAAAAAGTCTCTGATAAATACGGTGTTAAAAAGACGTCTTGTCATTTTGGTGGCAACTGATGGGAGTGCCCAGCTCAAGTCAGATGCACATAAAAGTCCAAAACAATCACGAAAAACATAATCAATTAATTTTCAAATAAAATTGTGAACTTACCGTTTCGATAAAGTAATGTCACTATCTCATCTGAGAGTTTCTGAAAAGATAAGAGGCCTGTTTCCAAAATGCTCAATGTGATAGACAAGTGGCAGAGTTTGCATATAGACTAAAAAGGGCCCGAACCAAATGACCATTAAATAAACATGAATGAGTTAGGTTTGTCTTGTAAAAGTCACAGAATTATCTCTGCATTATCAAAATAATATTCATCTTTCAGCTTTTTAATTATATATATCTAATATCTTCTACTTTTGATCAAAACAAGAAGCGGATTTTCTGCAAGGAGGAGCTTCTGAATTTTTGCATTCATCATCATCCACATGTTACAACATATTTTATATTCAAAGATGGAACCAGAAGCCAGAAATTTCAAGCTTTTGAATTGAATTCTACACTTACCAGATTTGAGTTTCAGGCTGCAGCTGTAGAGCCAGCCAGCTTAAAACAACCCAGATGATCAAACTTTTTTTTTTCTTTTTTTTCTTCAATTCAGAAATTCTCCGCACTTACTTCACAAGCCCGAACTCAACACTGGAGCCCCTACCGAACCAGATGATGAAATATTATATACAGTTAATCACAGTCTTGACAGATTCCTAGAAGTGAGCACTTGCCAAAATCCCAACTGAAGTTCCTGTAGGGCCGTAGGCTACAGCACTTCAGGAGCTAGCTAATTTTCCAGGGAGGCATTTACAATCTCCAACCCTTTCCAGGGAAATTAGAACGGCCCTGGAAAAGTAAACGCATCAGAAAGTGAGAGCTGGAGATGGATAATTTGGAGATGAAGATACCTCTCTCTTTCTGTGTCTTTTTTCCCTGGAAAAAGGAAAAAATACTGACAACACAAGAACACCAGCTAGCTACCGGTCCCTCGCTTGTCAACCTTTATATAAGAATAACATGTAATGTAATGATGTTTTGGTGTATAAAGGATAATAATTTTAATTACTTTTAGTACAGTTTAACATTGGAGATAATGTGAACCTGATACTGTAAGGAATTTGACATTTTAAAATAGCATAGGGTTACCATGAGGAAAATACTGAAATTCTATTTCATTACTATTGTATTGTTAATGTAGAATTAATACAAATAGGTATAAGACAGAATGAAAAGTTTTTGATGGAATCATTCTGATGTTGAGAAGTTTGTATTGCAGAAGATCCACGGATATTTGCAAATTATTTATTACTGACTAGAGTTTTATATTTGACTATTTTTTGGATTATTTTTTTTGGCTTCATTCTTATCATGGTCTTTTTCAGAATATTTGGCCGCAGATTATTATTTCTCATTAGTATCCTTTATAGTGTTCAAACAGCCACCATTCTTTTCTTTTTCTCTCTCTAGTTATTAGAATATTTGATTGTATAATTTTATTAATTATTG